ACCAAAGGACGGTACACGAACGTTCGAAAGATTTCGCGTGCGACAAATGCGATAAAAAATTTGGACAAAAATGGCATTTGATTTTACACCAAAAAACATTCCACGAAGGTCGCAAAGATTATGCATGCGACTATTGCGAGAAAAAATTTGGGGATCAAAGCAACTTGAGAAAACATCAAAAAACAGTACATGATGGTTGTAAAGATTATGCATGCGACAAATGCAAGCGGAAATTCGGACTAAAAAAAAACTTAATCAGACACCAAAGTTTAGTACATGAAGGTCGTAAAGATTACGTCTGCGACGAGTGCGAAAAAAGATTTGGACTTGAACGTCATTTGCTTTTACATAAAATGACAGTACACGAAGGTCGCAAAGATTATGCATGCGACAAATGCGATAAAGAATTTAAACAAAAATGGCATTTGATTTTACACCAAAAAACATTCCACGAAGGTCGCAAAGATTTCACATGTGACAAATGTGAGAAGAAATTTGGAGTAAAATCGAATTTATTGAAGCACCAAATAATAGTACACGAAGGTCGCAAAGATTTCGCATGTGACAAGTGCGGAAAAAAATTCGGACAGAAAAGTCATTTGCTCTGCCACCAAAGGACGGTACACGAAGGTTCGAAAGATTTCGCGTGCGACAAATGCGATAAAAAATTTGGACAAAAATGGCATTTGATTTTACACCAAAAAACATTCCACGAAGGTCGCAAAGATTATGCATGCGACTATTGCGAGAAAAAATTTGGGGATCAAAGCAACTTGAGAAAACATCAAAAAACAGTACACGATGGTCGTAAAGATTACGCATGTGACAAGTGCGAAAATAAATATGGACAACAAATTACTTTAATTAGACACCAAAAAACGGCTCACGAAGGTCGGAGAGATTATGCATGCAATAACTGCAAGCAGAAATTCGGGGAAAAGTCAAATTTCTTGGAGCACCACAGGACAGTCCACGAAGGCCGCAAAGATTACACATGCGACTATTGCGAGAAGAAATTTGGAAAGAAAAGTAATTTGATAAGACACAAAAAAACAGTCCATGAAGGTCAAAAAGATTTCGCATGTGATAAATGTGAAAAGAAATTTGGTTTTAAATCCAATTTGATCGAACACAAAAAAGCAGTTCACGATCTCCGCAGATTATAAATGTGACAAGTGCGAAAGTAAATTTGGAAAACAATGTAATCTAATGAGACACCAAAAAGCAGCCCATGAAGGTCGCAAGGATAACACTGGTCAAAAGGGCGCAAATAAAAAAATATTAATAAATATTTAGTAACACTTTAGCAGGTGTCAAGCTTACCATAAAATTTGACGTTCTCTGAAACCCTAAGAATTTATATAATCTTGAAATGTTTCCATTCGCTGCGTTTTTGTAGAATGCCAAATAGGTGACTAGGTAATTACACTAATTTACGATTTAAAAAAGTTCGTATTTGCCAGAAGTTTTTCATCAACTTTGTACATGTTTTATTTATTTACTGATTTAATTATGTTTTAAAGTTATTCACAAAAAGGACGTGAGCAAATATTCATTATACCTGAATGAATATGCGTGAAAAAAAACATTAATAATGAAATCAAGGGATGCTTGTCGCGTTTCCAGGGTGAAAAAACAGGAACCAGGTGAAAGTGCTTGAAACAAAAATTCACGACTTTTCATTACGACAAATGTAGTTTAAAAGCGTGTTCCTAGGTCTTTTTATGTTTCTGAGACACCCGAAAATTGTCACCAATGGTCGATACCCGCGTCAAGTGACAACAACTTTTTTCGCGTTTGAACTTTTAAAAATGCGACTTTTTTTCAAGAATTGTTCATGTACAACCTGCCATCGATGAGATGTAAAGGACTTTTACTTGGTATGATTTCCTACATAATCTTGATTAAAATCATGAGTACACTAGGCTAATCGTAGCAGTATCGCTGTGCTACTTGTATCCGGGTACAGCGGCCTTGGTATCAGATTAAATTGAATTGATAATTTGATTAAATTTAAAGAAAATAACGAATAGAAAAAAAAAGAAACTATAATTCCGGTGCATCAACAAATGTGGTATACAGATACGACAAACACATGTCTACAGTACCAACAGCAACGAGCGTTCGGTATTCTGACTGCATTATCTATGAAAATTAAAATTAATTTTTTTTAATGAGATTAATTTTATGAATGACGTTAAGGAGGATATTATAAAAAATTATTTTTTCAAATTTTTTGTTTTGTTTTTTTTAAATTTTATTTCAGAAAATTCAAGGGTGTAATAGGATTACATAAAAAAACTGAAAAAGTACATCACTATACTGTAAAATAATACAATAAAAAACTGAACAACTAACCCAACAACTAATAGTATTAAACCAATACTCATTACGCCTGCAAAAATATGTATTAAAAATACAAAAATAATCATTAATAATGCAATCAAGGAATATTGTCTGCAAAAAAAGCAGGACCCACGTAATTCGTTCTTCTCATGAACATCGCTATTTGCCTTTGGTATTCCAAGATTGTCTTCGTCTGCTTTCACGCATAAGCGAAATAGTTCCTCGTCACTCATTTTTTCGGCAACGATTCGGCAAACGGTGTGAGGCAGATTCAATTTACAGTAATTTGTCATGAACAGATCGGCTCCGAATAACTCCAATTGAGGTCTTATCAAAATATTTGCCAAGTGTCTTTTTACGATGAGATTTATATGACCATGCTCCAAGCCTTCCAGTGACGGTACTTGCCAATTTTTCATGTTCTTTATAATTGAGTAGCCCTTTTCATGACTCATTTGGCAAAGATTATACAGAGAGATGTCGTCGTTTAGCTTGATGTCATTTAACTTTGCTACTCGAAGCTCCCAATTGTTGATTATCTCTGGCCGAGGTTTGTAATTGGCTACGTCTTGTGGAATTTTCGATCTCAATTTCTTTTTTAGTTCAAGCAAATAATCCAGAGCTTCTTGTTTTATAAAAAATCCAAATTTTTTATGAATGTAAATCTGATACAAGATTTCCCTGTATATTAAGCAATCCTCGCTCCATCCTGCACCGTAGGGAATTGAATGGACGGCGTCGTTTCCTCGTAATCTCTTCCAAAATGTTAACATCCTGATTCTAGTGTGTAGGTTCACTTCGTAGTCAGCTGACTGTAACAATCGCATCACCTCGATAATGTTTAATGTCAATGGATAGTTTTTCAATTCTGATAATGTGAACTTCCGATTGAATATTTTATCCTCGTTTAAAGAGTCGAGACTAGCGCCGTGTTTCAAAAGTGCCCTGGTGACATCGACGTCAAAACGCGACACAGCTAAACTCAAAGGGGAATCTCCATATTTATCACGTGCCTCGATGTTTGCTCCTTTCTCAATGAGTATATCAACGATTTCATCAACCGGTTTTTTGTAGTCACATAAATGGTACATAGTGCCGCATTTACATAGGCACAGTCGAGCCAGCACGTGTAAAGGAGTCGATTTCTCATGGTCTGGTTTGTTTGGATTGGCTCCATTTTCCAGTAAGATTTCAGTGATTTCTTTGTGTCTGTTTTGTACGGCAATGTGCAACGGCGAGCACTTCCACGTGTCGAGATTGACGTCGATGCCCTCGCTTATCAATCGTTGGACTGCTTCTGCGTCACCAGCCAAGCAGGATTTGTGAAAATCCGTGAAGCCATGCTCATCGAAGTAGCTTTGCTGTGATATGTCGTGAATAATTCTAATGCGTTCCACGGTATTTCCAAGAATGTTATTATTTCTGTTCCCGGATCCTTCCAATTCGGCCAAAAATTGATCTACGAAACTTCCATCGCCCAAAATGATCTCGGGCATGTTGGCAAAGTTCTCCCAGCACATCTCGTCATATTCCGAACATTTCATCGCACTAAAAATTGGCTCAGTTGTATATTCACTTATCAAATTAATGTATTTCCACGCCCACTTGTATTTGCACTTTTCGCATTCAGATGACATGTTGGGTGATAACTTTTGATCGATTTCACTTTTGCGATGATAGTGAATTCAACACGTGGTAAACACACTGCACAAACACTTTGCACAATAAGACAATAGATAACTGATAACCGCACTGCGTGTGTCCAGTCAAAATGCTAGGTTAGAAAGTGCACAATATACGCAACGATGTCACCCTAAGCGATGTCGTCAATGCGCAGCTTCTGAATGTGACTTGCACGCGAGAGGCTTTTGAAGCTTCATCGCTGCTTTATATATCACAGATGTCATAATATCCGTTATAGACGCAGAGAGACATGTAATCGGGCTTTTGCGAAGTCGCCAGTGACGGTCATAAAACGATCAGCTGGCAAAACAAGTCGAGTCCACATAACAATAGCATGTAAAGTGGTCATGCCAAAAGTATACTTGTGGAATACTCATTGTTGTTGAAAAAAATAAAATAAAAAATACTCGAACGTTGTGTATAACCTCAAGATTATGAATATGTAATTTTTTTGCGAGAAATGTTTATTCTTTATCTGGAAAAAATCTATAAAAAATTGATTTCTTACACGGTAACCTGTATTTTTGATTAAAAACTTGAAAAAAGCGAAAATTTTACCTTCGAATACGCCTTTTGATTTTTCTATCGAGATTGAAAGTTCCACTTTAAAAATGATCACAAAATCAAAGACACCCTAATGGTTGGTTTAATTATCGAGGATTTTTTTTTGTTATAAAGACACCAAAAGTGAAAATTTATCGTTATAGGTTCAAGTTTTCAATTAAATAATATTTAACTTTTTCTGAATTTCTAATGTTTTTTTCTTTTCATTTTTCAATCGAATTATTAATTTTCTTGAATTTAAATTTTTATTGATATATTCTTTAATTGAGAAACTCTTGCAATATCTGCTTCTTGATTCGTCAACGAGACAAATGATATATAAATCTCTTAGATTATACTTTCGTGTTTTTGTTATTAAATATTTGAACAACTGAAACTAACGAAAATATATCCATGGTCAAATCCAGGACGCCGAGGCGTCGGAATCCGACGAGACCAAGTCCTCGGACGAGGTGGTCTACGCGATATCGGGCGACATCCTGTCGAAGCTGCCGCAGGACTTCGACCTGGTCACGGCCCTGGAGAAGTATCCCACCTCGTACGAGCAGAGCATGAACACGGTACTGGTCCAGGAGATGGGCAGATTCAACAAGCTGCTGCAGACGATCAGGCGCAGTTTGGTCAACGTGCAGAAAGCAATCAAGGGTTCGTATCTGTCTCTGTGCGCTCACGCTCGGTAGAAAATATCGACCGTGGCCAGCGTTCGTTTGCCAGAACGAGAGAGAAAATTGATCCTAGCCTTTGGTTTATTTGGATCGAGAGTTACAAGAAGGAGTATAGATAGTCACGCAATGACTTTTATTTTCTATCTACAACTAAATTGTCTCTTTATCTGCCCGTCTTTACTTCTGCAGGTCTGGTCGTCATGGACGCGGAGCTCGAGGAAGTGTACTCGTCGATCATCACGGGCCGAGTGCCGGCCCAATGGCATCGCGTCTCCTATCCGTCGCTCAAGCCGCTCGGCAGCTACGTCCAGGACTTTCTGCGACGGCTCAACTTTTTGCAGGTTTTTTCCCTTTTTTTTTCCTCCTTCCCCCCCTCCAAAAAAAAAAAAAAAAAAAGGAAACTCACGGAATCGTGCCTCTTCGTTCGTTCCGCACAGACGTGGTTCAAGGACGGCCCGCCCACGGCCTTCTGGCTCTCGGGCTTCTTCTTCACCCAAGCCTTCCTCACGGGCGCCCGTCAGAATTACGCGCGCAAGCACTCGATACCCATCGATCTGCTCGTCTACGACTTCGTGCCGCTGAAGGAGTCGCGGCACAAGTCGCCGCCCGACGACGGCGTCTACGTCTACGGCCTGTATCTGGACGGGGCGCGCTTCAACATGGACACGATGCAGCTGGACGAGTCGTTCCCGAAAGTCCTCTACGCCGACATGCCCCACGTAATAATAATAAAATATAATAATAATAATAACAACGACGACGACGATCGACCGACGTTCTCTCTCTCTCTAGAGCTCGTCCGCAACAAACTTTTCCTTAACTAATATAAGGTCAATTACGCCCCGCGCTCGGCTCGGCAATTATATACGTGACTAATAGTCCTTGTGCATACATATATAGATGTATATATGAATGTATATATACACGGGGTGGCTTCTTCCGCCCAGAGCAGCAGCAGCAGCAGCCGCGCGGCTTATTAAGTTCGCTCGATGTATTTTGCTTTTGCCTAGCGCCGCCGCTGCTGCCGCTGCTGATGCTGCTGCTGCTATATAACGCTGTGCAAGCAAATTCATCTCGAAAGCGTATATATATAGTATATAACGCGCCGCGCCCCGTGGAATTAAGTCGGCTGCAGGCAAACCATCGCCAGGTCTAATCTCGTAGAATATATACACTGAGAAAAAAAATTCATTGATTCAATGAAACGTTTAATTGAATACAATCTATGAAATAATTCATTCATTCAACAAAATATTTAATTGTTTTCATGAAACTTTGGTAAAAACAATTAAATATTTTGCTGAATGAAATAAAAAAAGATTATTTCAATGAAATTATTTCATAGATTGTATTCAATTAAACGTTTCATTGAATCAATGAATTTTTTTTCTCAGTGTACAGATATATATAGAGAGTGAAAAACTTAACCGGTGAAATACCCCCGCCCTTTGCGGGGGTGCAGCTTTATACATCCAATTTCTGGCTGAGTGGCGGGCACGTATATAGAACGGGGTCCCGACCAACTTTATACATACGCATCCAAACTCTTTTTTCGTTTTCTCTCAATTGTTTTTTTTTTTTTTTTGTTACGCAGCTGTGGCTGGTGCCGATAAAGAAGGACGACGTGCAGATACGCGACTCGTACACCTGTCCGGTGTACAAGACGAGCGAGCGCCGTGGCACCCTGTCGACGACGGGCCACTCGACCAACTTCGTCATCGCCATGCAGCTGCCGACGGACAAGCCGCCCGAGCACTGGATACAGCGCGGCGTCGCCATGCTCTGTCAACTATCACAGTAGTAGCAGTAGTAGTAGGAGAGATTATTATCGATGTACAAGTGTCAACGCGCAGCTATATGTACATGCGCGGGTGTACGGAGAAACAGAAGAGACGCAATCATCGCCGTAATATCATTTTTAATTTATCGTTTGTTTATTTTTATTTATACGGTGGTGCAGTGTTAATTTTTAAGCATTTACGTTTTAACGATTAGTTTTTTAAAGTGAATCGATGTAATTTTAAGGTGAAATTTTTTTACTCTCTTCTTTTTATACGAGTCGAAACCATTAAAGCGAACGAACGTTAATTTTCTTCCCTCTCTCTGTCTGTACGGTAAGGCGATATTCTCTCAATGCAAAAATTAGGAATTCCATCGTGAATTTTCACCGGCACGTAATATCCATATATATAAAGCTATATACATATACCTCACGTATATTTATACTCGTCGATTTTCCTTTTCTCCGTCTCTCGCAGGACTTCTTCTTCCTCGGGCTGAGGCGAATTTTCGCCATCGAAAGTAATTCTCCTCGTGCTCCGCCGTAGGAGTTTCCGAGCGTCGAGTGCGAATCCATTTTATACATATAATATATATAGGTATATAATTTTATATACATTTTATATAAGAAGACGTACGTCGTGCTCTCCGCGCAGTTTCTCTTTTCCTTCGTTTACGTCTGTCGTAAACTACAACTCGGTACCTATTACCTACGATCCACTATTGCCGATGTGTGCGCGCGCGCGTACGCGTGTACGTGAATTTTTCGATTCTTTTTTTTTTCCTATTTTATTTTTTTCTCATCGATCACGTTTTCGTCATCGAAAAAATTAATCTCGCGTCGAGTCGAATCAAGCTCCGCGTCTGCGCTCGCACCCACGCATGCGTTTATATTGCATTTTCAATTTCAATACGTAATAATACATATCCGCGGTGTGTATACGCATATATACAACGTTAACTTGTCATTCGAATCACGCCGAGTCGAGTCGTCGCGCTGCGTGTAATACGAGCATGACAAAGAGATCGGTCGCGAGCGTTGGTAGAAAAAAAATGAAAAAAATAAAAATTGCGCAGAAGAGGGAAGTCGGAGAAGATGAAGTCGGAGAGCCCTCTTCGATGTTTTTATTTTTTTTATTTTTTGAAGTAAACGAGCGGGTCGACGAAGAAGAGGAAGAAAAATATATACATGGCCGATTCTCTGTGAAATCGAATGGCCAAAAAAATTTTTTTTCTGCAAATATGAAAAACTTGCTGTTCCCGATGTCAGAAATGTCCCCAAATTTTATTAGAATTTTTGGGACCATCTATCACTCTTTTTCAGGGGCCCGAAGTTGGCCATTTTAGGGTTTTTTTGAAATTCATGAAAAATCACACATATTAAAATAATTCCTGGATTAAAGTAGAATGATTCAAATGTAAAAGTTCCCAGCAACTTTTTTGTTGGAAATTGTCCAAATTTTCAGAAAAAAAATATGCCAAAGTGATTGGAACAATCTAGGTAAATGTAAAGCAAAAAAACTGCAAAAAAAACATAAAACAAGAAATCTACTCGAGTTCGAACCGGACTTTCATTTCCTAAACTATGTAAAAAGCTTCCCAAAGATGTCAACTAATGCCTGATAAAGTTTTGTAATGGGCCTTAAAGTTTAACTCAATGTAGACAACAATGTGTGGCGAAAAACGTGCAAAAAAGGTCAAAAATAGGCCCAAAATGCCTAAAATCACCAAAAACAGCCATTTTCAGGCCTTTTTTGCATGTTTTTCGCCACACATTGTTGTCTACATTGCGTTAAACTTTAAGACCCATTACAAAACTTTATCAGGCATTAGTTGACATCTTTGGGAAGCTTTTTACATAGTTTAGGAAATGAAAGTCCGGTTCGAAGTCGAGTAGATTTCTTGTTTTGTGTTTTTTTTTTATGTTTTCCCACTAGTAGGTATTTAGGTGGCTCCAATCACTTTGGCATATTTTTTTTCTGAAAATTTGGACAATTTCCAACAAAAAAGTTGCTGGGCACTTTTACTTTTGAATCATTCTACCCTGATCCAGGAATTATTTGAATCTTTGTGATTTTTCATGAATTTCAAAAAAACCCTAAAATGGCCATTTTCGGGCCCCTGAAAATGAGTGATAGATGGTCCCAAAACTTCTAATAAAATTTGGGGACATTTCTGACATCGGGAACAGCAAGTTTTTCATATTTGCAGAAAAAAAATTTTTTTGGCCATTCGATTTTACAGAGAATCGGCCATATCTAGAAAAGAAAAGAAGCAAGCGCGAACTCGAAGGTGTGAATATGTTTCGCTCTATTTCTCCATCACTGGCTGGGGTAGAGAGAAGGCGACTGCACATGGCAAGTTTGTTCAAGCTCTCTTTATGTCGCGCTCGGCTGAAAAGCGTAAACATTGGTATCTGGGCGCTCGCTGCGACGTTTCGGCTATATATGGCTCGATGTCTGCGTGCGTGTGAGAGAAAAGAGAAGAAAAAGGAGCCTCGGAGAAAAATCTCATCCGAGGCGAATGTACTTACCTCGGCGAGAAATACATTATAATGCGTGTGCGATGTATATTATAAAGCGATGCTGCCGCTGCTCGCAACAGTTTTTTAAAGACCGCCTTTAAAAAGTAAACGCGTCGTTCGGTGGTGGATAGCATGGTATGTAGCAATAGTATATATATAGGTAGTATAACGCCCAGGCGCGCGTGTATCGCATTTTACGCCAAGTGCAAATACCATATATATACGGAGCTCTCTCTCTCTCTTTCGTCGCGCGCACCGCCGATGGAAAAAGAGCGAGTGAGCTAAAGGTACGTATATATGTGTGTGGGTGTGTACGTGTGCGTAGAGTAAATTGATGTTGCTCTCGGCTGCTGCTGCTGCGTCGCGATGTGTTCGATGTAAATACGAGGCTAGGTATATACGTAAGATGCGCGACTCGTGACGCTCTCTGGCTGCCTGCGTGGGATGCTTTATACAGTAGTAGTAGTAGTAGTACAGTAGTATAGCAAATACCGGCAGCAGCATCAATGCGCCGTGAGCTTGCGAGCGAGCTTGTGCCTATGTCTATGTGTGTGTGTGTGTGTGCTGGCATGGCGGTGGCTCGGCTCGGCTGGCGGCACCCTGTCTACCCGGACCGAGCGCGTGCGGATCTGCACGGAGGCTCGTTACCTAGCGACCCTCTCTCTGCTGCTGCCGCTGCCGCCGCTCGCGCGCGCGTGTATTGATCTCTCTCTCTCTCTTTCTCTCTCGGCTTTTCCCCTTTCCCCGGAAACCACGTGACTCTCTCTTTCTCTCTCTCTCTCTCTCGCTCTCTCTCGCGTTTACCATTACTCCGACGCTCGTGAGCGAGAGAAAGAGAGAAACCAAGCTATATCTGCAATCATTTCTTCCTCCATATATATACTCTGCAGTATTAGTAGTAGTACTAGTAGTAGTAGTGATGGTGGTAGTAGTCTTCTTCTTAATTTCCTTTATCTGCGCCTTGCACTCACTCTGTCTTACTCGCACCGTTTTCTTCCCCTCTCTCTCTATCTATATACATACACACATTTTAGCAATATATATATGTGCGTATGTATGTATGGCATCGTCGGATCCGAGCTTTTCCTTTATCCTCGCGCTTACTTCCCCAGTTTGCAGCCTCTCCCTCTCTCTCTGTCTTATGCTCGCGCTATTGCTCACTCACTCTTTCTCTTACTCTAACGTATATAATACTTGCACACACACACACAGCATACACACGCATAGATCGGTAAATATAATGCACGTTATATATTCTCACACGCGCACCGTCGCCGCGCCTATGTACCAAGCTCGAGTCTCTTTCTCTCTCTCTCTCTCTCTCTCTCTCTCTCTCTCTCTCGAGTTTTCCATCAAATTTCTCATTTCTACGCGCTTAGAGCGAGTCATCTGTTCGTTCCTTGTCTTTTCCTCTTTATACCAAAGAACCTCCCCGCCACTCGTACCATACGGCCGTATATACTTGCTCTGCTTATGGAACACTTGCTACACAGCTCGCTCTCGATTTTCTTTTCTCTATTTTGTTTCTCTCGCTTACTTCCTCTCTTTTTCCGCTTTAGCCGGGTATTATAACGTACGCGCGATGACGTCGACCAAAGACTCAAAGCGCTCGAGAGCTTAATGATTTTATATATACCTTATACGCGACGTTAAAGCCACATATATATATATCTGGCCGGATTTTTCCTTCTTTCAGTCTAGCTGCTGCTGCTGCTGGCAATTCTGGCTTGGCACGCACTGACGGGCATGCGTTTCGTGAATTTACGCGTGGCTAACGGCAGTAGCAGCAGTGAGCAGCAGCGAGCCGAGGTAAAAGCGCTTTAACGGCCAAGCGTGGAGCTTAATATATAGAGAGAGAGATTTGTACACGACTCGAAATCGGAACAAAGGCAGAAACTTTTTTTACTTCTCCTTCTTTCTCTCTCTCTCTCTCTCTCTCTCTCTCTCTCTCTCTCTTTCGCTGTTGCTGCTTTGTTATATTATTTTATTATTACATTATATGCCTTCGCGTGCATGGAGCTGCTGAAGCGGCCGGCGAGTCCTCGCCGCCGTCGACGACGACGTTCTCGAATATTCAAATGCCATATACTGACAACAAGATAACAGGATTACGTTTTGCTTCATAATACATTCTACCTTTTCACCTCTCTCTGTGCAGCAGCAGCAGCAACAGCGGTGGCAGCAGCGACGTCCTCCTATACCTACCGTCGCTGCTCTATGCTATACGCAACTTTGCAGAGACCCAGAGCTTCTCTCGCAAGCTTCGTCACCCACACACACACACACACACACATACATAGCCAGGGAGAGACAGAGCAGTCTGTGCAGTTTTTTAATTTTACCCTGGCCGTTATTTACGCTGCGAGCTTTGGATACACCGCCGTTGCTCGCATAAATTTTGCCCAACTCTGTCTGTCCGTGTGTGTGTGTGCGCGTACCCGCGTGGTTATGAGTTCTGCGACTGTCTTTCTCTCTTAAAAGCGCGAAGCTCGTGCGCGTCTTTTGCGTACTTATTTTGCAATTCGGACCGTCGAGCTCACTCTCACTCTCTCTCTCTCTCTCTCTCTCTCCTTGGAGCCTCGGCGACTGCTTTTAAAGCATTTAATTTGGCAATGAATATGTATATACTACTTTTCATGCGGACATCCTTATAAATGTAATTTAACTTGATTTTAATCAGATTTAAAAGGATTAATGTAGAGCCCTATTCGTTTTCCATCAAGAGAAATGTGCGCTTAATTAAAAACAAATGCCATCTCGAAGCCCGCGCTGCCCCCAGCCCCATCCCTCTCTCTCTTACCCTCATCGCCGTGTACACTGTACATGGGTACTACTACGTGCGGCTGTGCGTGCTCTTGCCGCGGAAAAGTTTAATAGCCCATTTCGATTGAATTCGACGCAATTAATTCCCCGAGCTTTTTCATTCGAACCAATCACCGTCAACTTGGCGCGCGCTTTTTTTTTTTTATTTCAACTCTCTCTCTCTCTCTTCTTTTCCTTTATTCGTGTTTCGCTTCATTTGCCTCGCGTTCTCTCGGCTGCGGCACATACGCGATGACGACGACGACGACGACGACGAGTATTTTATACACGTACAGAGAGAGAGGCTTTATTTCATCTTTTTGCCGTGAAAATTATTTCGAACTCGAGCGCACTAGAATTTTCCGTATTCCGTGTATATTTATTGTAAAGTACCATCATCGAATTGATATTATCAGTCTGCTTTTTTTTTCATTCGATACTTCGTATCGATGTATATATTTTTTATTCAACTTTTGACTGAAAAATACATTTTACTGCTCGTTTGGTCTCGTACTCGAGCAACGTCCTCACTATGCATTCGTTTGTCATTTCGAGGCTTATTGAAATCTGCAATGAAATATTCTGTTGCATAAAAAATAAAAACTTTTTTTTAAAAATAAAAGACCCTTACGGATACTTAATTCGTGTCGCGTTTAGCCGTATAGAAGGCAAAAGTTAGTTTATCTAAAATTTGAGTACACGAACGAGAAAGCGGTAGGAGTGCCTTTCCGTTTTTCCTCTTAACTTTTTTTTTTTCTTTTTATTCTCGTCACTTCAGTTTACGACCAGAGAGTACTTCTCTCCGTCCGTAGATCTTTGTGAAGAAAAACGAGAGATGAGTCACAGTTCAGAGCAAGAGAGAAAGAGGAGGAAGCACAGGCAGAGAGTGGCTATGGTCTGGTTCCACCTGTTTTCCCGAGTGCTCATCTCTCTCGTACTGCACGCGCGTCCTTTGAAAGTCAGAGTCTAATTAATGGGGTGGGTGTAGTGAATTTTCTCTTGCCATCCTCGAGAGTAGCGCAGAAGCTAGACTGAACGCGCTGGTGACGAGCGCCCCTCGCTTACGTACACGTACACACGTACACATACATCAAACCCGATGTAGAAAAGATCAACTTATTTCACTGCAATGAAATGAAAGGAACCTTTTATATCTATTAGAGTCTATATTTCTTTTACATTTTTTCCCCCCATTCAGATAAATGTATTCCAAGATATTCTTATAATATGCCAACGACAGAGTAAAATTAGTACTAGTAGATAGATTTTTTAATGATATTTGGAATTTTTACTTAAATATACTCAAAATAATACTAAAAAAATCGATGAAAATGTATACTTTGAATACATTTTAATTATTAAGGAATTGTAGTTACTACACTTGTATCAAGAAAAGTTTATTTAAGAACATTGCCAATAGATCGGTAAAGAGGTCCCTTCTGAAATTATGATGTTTTCTTTTTTTATGTATAAATGCTAGTGAAAGACGTTGTCCCAATTTCAAAATAACAAATTCTTCTGAAAAAAGTTGTTGGTTCTTTTTTCTATTTTCAAAAATTTTCGATCATGTCTTTTCTATTGTATTCAATTTACGGAGGAAAAAAAGAGATACACGAACATGATTTACAATCGTGATTTATAAAAATCATATTTTTTGTTGAATAACCGAAGCAACTGTCATAGATTCTACCAAGCCATCCGATACTTTGATAACTAATTAAACTTGATAATTCTTAGTGTCATGTATGTAATTATTGACTGTATTGATGTTGGTTCAGAGATATATTTCTTTCGATTGAAATCAGTTTTTGCATATATCTCACGTGTATGTCAGCAAATTGTGCGCCTGAACGAATGCAATTTTCATTACTATTTCGGTGTAGTTTCAATGGCAGGCGTGTACCTTTATACATCGCAGTACATTACTACGACGGCCAGTCGATGGAATAGAGGTAGTAAATATCGCCGAGAAGTTATCACAATCGCGAAATCACCTCATTAATATACGAGTTGTGTCGGCGTTCAATCACTAGCTAAGAGCTAAATTCCTTCCAGTAAGCAAGTGTTTACAAATTGGTAAAGTCGATATGCAGTGAGGTTGGCTATTCGAAACATATAACCTCGAATATTTTTTCAGTGCATATCGTGAAAAATCACAGTAATTATATAATCAAGCGAATGATGGACACCAGAGAGGACATAGTTAGGTATGGTTATTATTGTTCATGTCATATTTTTTATAGCGATCGACTTCTCAAATATTATTGTTCTCCAATCTTCAGGGTAAAAGAAGATCCGAATGATACTTGGTCAGACGTAGGTGACAATTATTATTTTGATTCGGCGGAATCATGCGTAGCCAAAAACTTTAAAACATTCCCGTTTGATAAACCATCAGTGAGTTTAATGATTTGAATCATATTCTGTTTTTCCAATAACTAAAATTAGTATCCAATTTTTATTTTAGGCAAATCACATGAATGGGGTTATGGCGTTACAGAAAAAGTTAGATGAAAAAATATTCATTGATTTAGAGTGCAGGGATGTTAAACTTAATATGAAGTCTCTAACAGCTATCTGCAAAACTGAGGATCAATGTTGTATACGTATTGTAAAAATGGAAAACCAAATGGAAAACAAAAAAGAGTTGAATGATAGAGATCTGATAGTTTTGATAAAAAAACAGTTTTACTATGATAACAATTGCCAGTTTCAAGTTAATTCCCGATTGAAGTTTGACAAACATAAGGAGGTTAGAATATTTAAAAAAACTATGCATAAAAAATTAGCAAACAAACAAACGCAACAAGGAATTAGACGATTTGAATGTGAGATTTGTCAACAATCATTTGGACTAAAAGGTAATCTCAAATCACACACAAATACAATCCATGTTGGTAACAAACCTTTCGAATGTGATATTTGCCATAAATCGTTTGGAAGAAAAGATAACCTGAAAATTCATATAATTACAGTACATTATCGTAGCAAACTCTTTAAATGTGACATTTGTCACAGATCATTTGGACAAAAACAATACCTGAAAATTCACATGAATGCCGTACACGGTCGGAACAAACCTTTCGAATGTGAGATTTGTCAACAATCATTTGGACTAAAAGGTAATCTCAAATCACACACAAATACAATCCATGTTGGTAACAAACCTTTCGAATGTGAGATTTGCCATAAATATTTTGGACGAAAAGGAACCCTTAAAGCTCACCAAATGGTGGTACATTATCATAGTAAACCCTTCTCATGCTATGTTTGTCAGAAATCATTTGGACAATCAGGTGTCCTCAAACATCATGTCAACGTAGTACACAATCGTAGCAAACCTTTCGAGTGTGACATTTGTCACAAATTTTTTGGACAAAAAAGTATCCTCAAAACTCATATAAGTACAATACATGATCGTAGCAAACCTTTTGAGTGTGAGATCTGTCACAAATCATTTGGACGAAAAAGTACCCTCAAATGTCATGTGAATACAGTACATGATCGTAATAAACCGTTCGATTGTAAGATATGTCACAAATCATTTGGACAAAAAAGTACCCTCAAAACTCATATAAGTACAATACATAATCGTATCAAACCTTTTTAATGTAATATTTGTCAGAAATCATTTGGACAAAAGAGTAACCTAAAATGTCACATAAATACAGTACATAATCGGAGCAAACCCTAGGAACGTGAGATTTGTCCGGAGACGTTTAGGCTCAATCAAGAGTTCACATGAGTACGTTATTGCAAACAATGTTTCTCATTAAAAAATAAATAAAGTATTCAATAAAGTATTTCAATCTGTCATTATTTTGTCGTCATTAAAACAGGATCAAAGCTCAATAACAGATCTTTGAAATTAGTTACAATTTAGTCCGCTTGATGCAAGATAATCTTGCTGGTAATTAAGTACAGCAAACATAGATTTCTGCTGTAGTTGTCTTCACTTTTATTATTTAATACATGCAAGTATCAGACATACCATGATCCAGAAGTAAGTTAGGACAATAGACAAATTTTTTCAATTCACATTATACAATTGTCCTCTCAAAGTTCTTTGAATTTTTACAATGTTGCAAAAACAGGTTGATATTATCAGTCAATTTATATAATATTTCATATTACATGTTTCTTATTGTATAGATGTAGAAAAAATAAAAATTGGACGCACGCCCATGCAGGTGACCGCATCTGTCAAAGGCAGACAGATAAGTTGACATTTATAAAAATTAGCATTACAGAGGCTTAATACAAATTCGTTTAGATGTTCGCCTTAAAAAAGCTGCATTGTAATCGGTTGCAGCTTTGAAATTCTTTATATACATTTGCGCTTTATTTAAATTCTATACATTATTTAGTGTCGGATTAGAAAAAATGCAGCCCCCACGTAAACTTTCGTTTGCCTCTCACGCAATTCGAAAACTACTATAAGAGCTTTTACTAATAATAAAAAAATATTCTTTGGTTTAAATGAAATGAATGAATAATTTCAAGTTAGGTTTTTTCATATAGAACTTTTTGTTATTACCGACGACGTCTCTCGTAGCAATAAAAATTCGTCTGTCAACAAATTGATCTAAATTTTTCACTAGCACGTGTTTGATCGATTCGGGATTGCTTATTTCGTACGATCGTAAGATTTATTTTAAAAAATCAGTAGCCAAATATTTGCCCCATTCACAGTTCCAAACAAAACATGAAAAAACTCTCTGCGGTAGATCGTTGCATATTAGAGCTGCAGGTAGCCAAAAAATTGATTGAGATTAGTAATTAGTAGTACGCAAAATGTGAAGATACCACAACGTCAGTATGTACAAAGGTGAAGGTCCGAGGTTAAAGTAATTCAATACCATTTTTATTAAAATTTTAGAAAAACACCTATTCTCACAATTTTCGTATACCTAACCTTTTCGATCATAATGGGCTACCTCTTGGTGTCTGATCACAATAAATTTTTGCCCAAATTTTTTTCGCATTTGTCATGTGCGAAATCTCTACGACCATCGTGTGCTGTCCTTTGATGAACTATCAAATAATCTTTTCGTCCAAATTTTTTCTCGCACTGATCGCATGCATAATCCTTGCGGCCTTCGTGCACTGCCTTTTGGTGCATATGCAAATGAACTTTTTGTCCAAATTTTTTCTCGCATTTGTCACATGGAAAATCTTTCCGACCGTCATGCACTACCTTTTGGTGTCTGAGCAAAGTCGATTTTTGTCCAAATTTCTTGCCGCACTCATCACAAACGAAATCTTTACGACCTTCGTGGACTATTTTTTGATGTTTGATCAAACTGCCTCGCTCTCCAAATTTCTTGTCACACCTGTCGCACGCAAAATCTTTACGACCTTCGTGAATTGTATATTGGTGTCTGAGCAAATTCGGTTTTTGTCCAAATTTCATCTCACACTTGTCGCATACGTAGTCTTTACAACCTTCATGGACTGATTTTTGATGTTTGAACAAATCCGATTTTTGTCCGAATTTTTTTTCGCACTTATCGCATGCGTAATCTTTGCGACCATCGTGTACTGTTTTTTGGTGGGTGAGCAAATTCGGTTTTTGTCCAAATTTCTTTTCACACTTGTCGCATATGTAGTCTTTACAACCTTCATGGACTGATTTTTGATGTTTGAACAAATCCGATTTTTGTCCGAATTTTTTTTCGCACTTATCGCATGCGTAATCTTTGCGACCTTCATGGACTGTCTTTTGGTGTGAAAGCAAATAAAATTTGTAACCAAATTTTTTCTCACATTTGTCACAAGCGTAATCTTTGCGACCTTCGTGTACAGTCTTAAGGTGGGTGAGCAAATTTTGTTTTTGTGTAAAACTTTTTTCGCACTCGTTGCAGACGTATTCTTTGCGATCTCCGTGTACTGAACTTTGGTGCCTGATTAAGTTTTTTTTTTGGCTGAATTTTCGCTCGCATTTGTTGCAAACATAATCCTTGCGACCTGCGTGGACTGTTGCTATATGCACGAGTAAATTCTGTTTACTTGCCGATTTCTTCCCACAACTGTCACATAAATAATTTTTGAAGACTTTGATGGTGAAATCTTTACGACCTTCGTGTATTGTGTCTTTGTGTCTGACCAATTTCTGCTTGAGTACAAATTTCTCTTCACACTTGTCACAAGCGAAATCTTTCTGACCTTCGTGTATTGTCTTCAGGTGAAAGAGCAAATGATGTTTAAATCCGAATTTCTTCTCACATTTATCACATTCAAAATCTTTGCGACCCTCATGGACTGTCTTTATGTGTAAGAGCAATCTCTGTTTATTTCCAAATCTCTTGGCGCATCTGTCACATAAATAATCTTTAAAAACTTCGTGAAATATTTTATTGTGCTTGAGTAAAGTTGATTTATTTTCAAATTTCTTTTCGCACTTGTTGCAACTCAAATTTTTCCGATCTTTGTGTACTGATATTTGGTGTCTACTCAAATGACTTCGGAACTCAAATTTTTTCTCGCACTTGTCACATGCGTAATTTTTTTCGTCATTATGAATTGTGTCTCGGTGTATCGTCATATTTGATTCTAGTGTAAATGCATCAGGCCCAATACCACAAACATATTGTTTGTTGTCTGAAACAACAATGTCATGTTCACTCGAATTATTTCCCGAGATAAATTCCTCGGATTTCTTTTCGCTTTTATCCATTTTAGTGTATAGAATTAAGCAATAGATCCTTATGTTTAGTAGCACGACAATTGAATGAGTAAAATTTATCTTTTGGTATTAATATTTGTTTCATGGAAAAAGACAACATTCAAACTAATTTGTTTTCACTATAAACATGATCATTGTATCGCATAACGATATCAAAATTGTTTATAGTCATATTGTTTACAATCAAGTTATCGTTTCATCGGTTTATACTGTATATAAGGATTTTCATCTTCTATAATTTTCTTAAATTTCAAATAAAATGAATTCAATCATATATACGAATATTATTTAAAATTTCCTTCTTCTACTTTTCAATCGAACTTTGAAGTATTCGAGTTATGCCTCGTTAAAATTGATTTTTCGACTAGTTTTCAAAGATATCGGGTTAATTGAAAAATAAAAGAAAATGAAGCGGAAAAAAATTTATCGAGATATATAACATCGAGAAGTTGCACCGACGATGCGTAGAACCAGAGACAATGGAGGGTGGCAGAGTATATACTAGAGAGAGACTGAAAAGTTAACGGGCAACGTTAACAAGCTCGGCAGTGGCACAATCCTGGCGTGTGATTACAAAGTTAGACAATTTTCCAGCCTCGTCATTCAGCCGCTGCACACGCACACATACACACCTACGCACACGCATGAGAACGTGCGTACATGTACAATATATAATATATAGTATATATAAGCCTGTATGGAGAACGAAAGAGAGAGAGAGAGAGAGAGAAAAGTAAGAGCGCGCGCTGCAGTGAGCGAGGGTGTGCAAAAAAAGGGTTGCGTTAAAGGCTGTCTTTAACAGGGCGTGTCGGTGGCTGCGGGTCAAAAAAAAAAAAAAAAANAAAAAAAAAAAAAAAAAAAAAAAGAAAAAAAAGATAGAAGACTACGTAGAGAGCTCCTCCTCGTCGTCGTTGTCGTTGTCGTTGTCGTTGTCGTCGGGTGAATGAAAGTCACACGGCCCCACGCAGACTTTCGAGCCTCTGATCCTGAAGTCCTCGTACTCTCACCCTCTCTCTTTCTCACGCGCATACACTCGTATCCAGTGGTATATAAGCTTGGCAAAGTGACCTTCATCTGAATTTCTATGTCGAGCAAAAAGCGGCATCGTAGTCGAGCTTCTGTGCTGCAACGCGCAGCCCCTCGACGGGCGCGCGCTAAGTCGAGCTGCGTATAAGGTGTATATATATATAGGTGCAGTACACGAGCAGTGCAGGCTATCCCTATGTATATATAACGTGCATATTTCAAAACTGTGCGAAACGTGCTAACTCGGCTTTATGCATAAGACATGCTCGCGCTTATTATTTATGAAGCGCCACGGCGCGCTAGAAATCGAGCGCATGACCTCGTGTTGCATATATCCAAGACAATTGCGCGCCGCTTGACTTTTTGCCCTTTCATTATGTATAAAATACCGAGCGACCGATGACGAGCCGTGAGATAGTACAGTAAATGGCACCCACATCACGGATTTGTTTTTTACCTCGTGCACATTTAAGCCCTAGGCAAAGTACCGTGGACTAACTGGATTACGTCGAAATTTCGAATTGAATTTTCCAAAGCCGAATTAGTGCGCACCGAAAATTTTCTCATTTTCCGCGGCGCGCCCATTATCCTCGAGCCTTCGAGTTTCCCGCG